CTAGTTGCCATTTCCTAAAAATAAAGCTTCAGCAAGTATACATTTGCATGTACCTGTTCCTTTCCCAGTCTGCAGAATTGCTTTTCTTTTTCAGAAGGTGATATTCTGCTTTTCTGTGGTCAAAAAGTTCAAAGATCCAGTTTGAAAGAAGTATGTTCTCTTTCTAGAAATAAAGCTTAATGCTTTTCATTCTAGAAGTTCAAAATTCACAAATGGATATTCAAGCGATAGTTACATGGCCCCAGATTTTCGTGATATTTTGTAAAAGAGAAAATAAAATCTAAGTCACTGTCCTGAATTTTTCAAGGCCCTCGGCACATGTCTAATCTGGGAGAATTACAGAATTGAGAACATCTCTAAATGTATGATAAGACCGGTGATTTTGGCATCTACTGGGGTAATTTTGACATTAGAACTGTACTGGGATTGAATGGTAAGGAGCAGTGGCTGCAGCAAGTGACAGATCTGGTCAGTCCAAATTGTAGAGATGAATTTATGGTGAGGGAACAGGGGCAGGACTGGGCACACTGATGTCGTGTGGGAGCTGCCAGATTTCCGTGATACAGGGGTGTATTTTACTTTCTACTGAATGATTGAGGCACTGGCACAGGTTGCCCAGGGAAGTTGTAGATGCCCCATCCCTGGAAGTGTTCCAGGCCAGGTTGGATGAGGCTTTGGGCAACCCGGTGTAGTGGAGGGTGTCCCTGCCCATGGCAGGGGGGTTGGAACTGGATGATCTTTGAGGTCCCTTCCAACCCAAACCATTCTGTGATCCTATGATTCAGGATTCAAACCAGTGGCATGCCAAAAAAAAGCACTATCGCGTGCAACAAGGCTCTGGGGCATCCGGTTGCACAAAGGTTCTACTATGGCACTTCTCTGGAGATGGCTTGAGAATTTATCAAACTAAGCTCTTACCTTTTTAGAGCTCACAGAATAGAAACTACAGCTTTCTAAAAGAAACAATGAAAATCTTTCATGTACTGCCTTGGACATAAATTGTGTTGGTCTTAAACACGCTTCAAATGAATGAATAAAATTGTAAGTAAAGCATGTGTTGGTATAATATTAGTATTCTATTAAAATACATTTGCCATCTAACTATTCCAATATATATGTGAGGATGTCAAGACTAACTCCTACATCTTCCCTCTCATATATATTATGGATTTAATCTTTAAATGCATCACACAGAGCGGTCTCATTCGAGTTTTAGGAGAAAATTGTGGGATGGAAGCATTGTGTTACTTGGTGTAGATCAGCCTATATACAACTTACATGATGCCATGGAGCTACCAAAATAAATTGTGAATTGTCAGAGAGTTGGTGGGCGTAGAGATTCTTGGAGCTTGTAGTAGAGTGTAGCTTCATGATTACAGAAATATGTCATACAGTACATGTACAGTCCTAATGTCAAAATTACTCCAGTAGATGCCAAAATCACTGGTCTCATCATACATTTAGAGATGTTCTCAATTCTGTAATTCTCCCAGATTAGACATGTGCCGAGGGACTTGAAAAATTCAGGACAGTGACTTAGATTTTATTTTAGCTTTTACAAAATATCATGAAAATCTGGCGCCATGTAATTATTGCTTGAATATCCATTTGTGAATTTTGAACTTCTGGAATGAAAAGCATTAAGCTTTATTTCTAGAAAGAGAACATACTTCTTTCAAACTGGAACTTCGAACTCTCTGACCACAGAAAAGCAGAATATCACCTTCTGAAAAAGAAAAGCAATTCTGCAGACTGGGAAAGGAATAGGTATATGGAAATATATTCTTGCTGAAGGTTTATTTGCTGAAGCTTTGTTCCCAGCCCCACCTATGTGACCTTCCCCATGGCTTAAACCCCACTTGTGACTGCTACTAAAAACTGTGGATGGCATGGAAATTTTATTAGCTACCAGCAGGAGAGCTGCAGCTAGCCGTGAGGCTGTCTACTGTGCGATGAACAATGCAATATTTATCTTTTAAACTGCTACAGTGCATTGTTTGTGTTGGTTTTGGTTTCTCTTCTATGAAATCAAGTAAGTGCTGCTGCTGTTCGTATGCCCCGCTGCTCCAGCAGGGGCCAAAGTAATTTTATATTTTGGATAGAAGATGTGCAGGCAGAAGCCCATCTAAGTGCCCACTGGCTTCACCAGCAGTGGTAGCACAGAATCGTGCCCGCATCTCTCCTGCAGGGTGTATCCGTTCTGTTCTGGGACCTTCTCTGTTATCTTCCTGTCTTGGAGACGAATACCCAGGCTGTGTCCTTTAGGTGCTGATGTCAGCACTATTTCAGAACTTGCAGATCTTTTCATATGGTTGAGTTCTGAGGTCTGATCCCAACGCTTCCCGTGAGTCCTGTCTTTATTCTGCCACGAATTGGTGATAGCCAAGGAACTTGGCCAAAAAGACCACCCAGCTGTGAGGGTGGTGACCACCACCATGACAGCTGTGAGGAGAACAGTGTGTGTGAACAGAGGCAGGCAAGCCCTGGCGTCTTAAGTTCTCCAAGAGTAAGAAGTTTCTCTTTTTTCTTACCCCCCTGCCCCCCGCTTCTGCCTGTGTCTCTTACAGGAGGTCTGATGATGGGGTGCACTGCTTCAGTGATGTTATAGACTCTCCCACCCCTGGCTTTCCATGTGCTCTCGCTCCTGCTGTCCCCGACAAGGTAAAGGAAGTCCATGTTCCTCTGGCTTGGGGTTGGAATGCGCCTTGAGCTGTGAAGCAGAAGAAATGGCTGAAAGCAAGCTCGTGCACGTGTTGTAGCTATAGTTATGTAGCTGTTTAGTTGCCCAGTTCTGTCTGAGAGTCCTAAACTTGTTCATTTAATCCTTTCTTATGCTATATGGTGTCGTCAGAAGACTGACCCATTGAAAGAGAGAAATTCCTGATACCTGCTCGTTCAGGTTCCAGGCCGAGCTTTTGCAACACCAGCTGAAGACAATTTGGCCAGTTGTATTGTTCATGCTCTTCATTAAGGAAGAAGGATTCCATCTTGTCTTCAGGGAGAAAGCAGTTTCTGTGCCAAAACACAGAATCATGGAACAGTTTGGGTTGGAAGGGACCCTAAAGACCATCCAGTTCCAACCCCCCTGCCATGGGCAGGGACACCCTCCACTACACCAGGTTGCTCAAAGCCTCATCCAACCTGGCCTTGAGCACTTCCAGGGATGGGAGTGCTCATCCCTGGAAGTGTTCAAGGCCAGGTTGGATGAGGAAGGAGCTATTGGTTCCCTCAGTATCTGGGTTACCACAGAAGATCACGTTACCTTCTGCCAATGTTAAATTCTTTTCCTTGTTGTCTTTTCCTTTTCATAGACCGTGGACTTGTTTGAGATGATTGAAAAAATGCAGGTAAGAAGTTATTCTGTCAAACTTTGGGATCTCTTGATTTTTCATAGCCAAATAAATAATCAGCTGCTATTTGTCTTGTCACTTCACTCCCAATACCTTTTAATTTGGGCGTGCAGAATGTTCAGCTTTTCCAGCTTTAACGTAGCTGCATTTAGCAAGGTCAAACAGTTTTTAATAAATAACTACTGTAGACCCTGTCTTTAACTTGCAGGAGAAAGAAGGACTCTGGCTTCATTCTCTTATGGAAATCTGTGCATTTATTTGCATATATTACATTATAAAATTGAATGTAATTAGAGTAGAGGGAAAGGGAAAAATACCAACCTTGAGCCCTACAAAAATAAAGAGGTGGTAATATAATAATATCTTATATATCTAACAACAAGATCCTTAAAACTAAATTTTTCAGAGGATCTGTTCTCAGAGCATCCTTGCAGACTACCAATATTTTCTCGGAGTGGTCCGCACCTCCTCTGCAATGCTGTGGTTAACTTTGCCCTAACTTGACATGTAACCTGCCTTTTTTTATGTGCAGGAATTAAACTTAGAGAGATTGTTAACTTCTTTCCTGGAATTTTGAGCGATCAAATTATGGATATGAGAAAAATGCAGGACTTTTTGGTGGGACTGTAAAGGTGAGGAGGTGGGAGGCAGCAGCAAAACACCGAGTACAGAGTTATGAGGCTGGTGCTATTTGGCAGACTGGAAAGGAGAAGTGGGTTCTTAGCTGCCCGTTGTTAAGACTGTATAGTTTATTTTATTTGTTAAAATTCAGCTTGTTTTGTCACGTGACTTGCACTAGGATAATTAATAACTGCTGCTTGAGAGCAGTTTTTTGAAAGACGGGAAGAGAGGTATTTTCCAAAAGAAAAAACTTCCCCTCTAAAATTTTTCTTTTTGTGTTTGTTTTGCTCTTTCTTTATATTTTTATTAATTCTTTATTTATTCTTTTTTTGTGTGTGTCTGTTTTTGCTTTCCCTTTCCTTCCATTTGACTCTGGCTATCCTTTAGGTTTGTTGAATCATTCTTGAAAATGAATTCTGGGATTTTCATTAGCAATCAAGTGAGCAAAAGGCAAAGCAGGAGACTGGGACATTTCCCCTGTAAAATAACAACAACAAAGCCACAGGACAGAATTCAGTTTTGAGTACTTTAACAATCAGATTGGAGTATAATTGTTTGAAAATTAACATAGCCATGTCACATGTGTGATGAATTAACAGATAAAGTCGTGTTCTCTTTTTAAACTAAAACCTGTGCTGAGATCTGGGAATTAAGTTTGCCTTTTTGGTTTTAATCTTAATAATCGTTACTTGAAGTAAATGAGCTACTGCTCATCACCACATCTGTACACACAGACTACTGCGTTGGTCTGTGTGTACAGATGTGGTGATGTCACAGAAAATACTTTGTTAAGGACACTTAGGAATACACTGTTCCTCCATTGCTCTGCAGTGCAAGCTGCTGAAGAGCAAGCAAATCTTATTTCAACCAAAAAACCCAGATGTTTTAGGTCTTCACATACTTGGGTAACCAATTCCTCTTCACTCACCTGCTTTTGTCTTTTAGGGTGTGATGTTTACTACCTCTATCCTGCATTCACACCGTTTCAACATATAGAATCATAGAATCATAGAATGGTTTGGGTTGGAAGGGACCTCAAAGATCATCCAGTTCCAACCCCCCTGCCATGGGCAGGGACACCCTCCACTACACCAGGTTGCCCAAAGCCTCATCCAACCTGGCCTTGAACACTTCCAGGGATGGGCCAGCCACAGCTTCTCTGGGCAACCCGTGCCAGTGCCTCACCACCCTCAGAGGGAAAAATTTCTTCAGTCTTATTTTCTCACAACTACCATTGTGAGGGCAGATTTAGGTTAGATATAAGAAAGAAATTCTTTACATTGAGGGTGGTGAGGTACTGGAACGGGTTGCCCAGAGAAGCTGTGGCTGCCCCATCCCTGGAAGTGTTCAAGGCCAGGTTGGATGAGGCTTTGGGCAACCCGGTGTAGTGGAGGGTGTCCCTGCCCATGGCAGGGGGGGTGGAACGAGATGATCTTTGAGGTCCCTTCCAACCCAAACCATTCTGTGATTCTATGCCCGCTTGAACTATGTCCAGTATTTTATGAGAGTCTGTTGGCCCCGTATCTTTTTGGCTTCTTTTGTTCTGGGCCTCTGCTCGGTCCACGTTGGAGCTGTCCTCACTAGAATTTTGCTGTTCCTGTGTGCTTCTGCTGCAGAAGTGGGGTGGAAGTGAGCTAGTCTTGCCGTGGTGAGAAGGCAGAGGATGGAACAGCCTTAAGAATGAGAATCAAGTCTGGATGCCAGCTGCTGATTCAGGAAGAAACTAGGCATCCAGTGGTCTTTTGCCCTGCCATTCCAGCCCACCTCACGGTAATGGTGTGTAGGACAGCAGATGTGCAGGGCTTTGCTGCGTGGCTCCTCGCTGCCTGCAGGAACCTGCTGCACAAGTCAGATGTATGGATGGGGAGCAGCTCTGATTTTGTGTCTCCCCTCCAAGAGAGGTTCCCCTGTGTGGATGGGTGCAAGGCACATAAACTGGTTAAAAGCCCTTTTGCCTAGCCCTAATCCTCGAAACAAGTGTTTGTTACTTCTCTTAACCCTGCTCTGAGGTTCTCAGTGCTCTGCCTGACAGTATCTTCACAGGAGAAGGAAGAGGAACGAATGGTCCAAAATACTATTCATTCACATTCTGTCTTTTCCTTTTTTTTCTTGCTTGGGATAAGAAGTGAAGTAGCTGGAAGAGATTAGAGAATTAAAGAAGAAAATCAGTTTGGGAGATTGCCTTTGATTTCTGCCAGCTTTCTGCTTGTTAAGAGATGGAAGGTGGGGGGGCTTTTCTGGTTTAATGCCAAATTAGAGGACTGGCCAAGTTCTAGCTTTACTCCTTCTATTGATTTCAAACTTCCAAACTTGCATAAAATACAAGATTACAGCGAGAGACAAAATATGCACGTTGGAGATATGGAGAAGGACACAGAGGGTAAGTAAAACAGAGATGCTAAAACACAGGATTCACTGTCTGTGACTTTCTGTTTCCAGGGGAGCCGTCTGGACAAACAAAGATGTTCCCTTCCAGCTCCTCTCAAGGTCAGGCCAAGTCCTTGTTGCCTCTTAAGTTGCTGAGAATGGCAGATAACTCCTGACCTGGCTCGCAGGGTATTTTCACCTTGGAGTAAACAGGGAGCCCACAAACAGCCCAAGAACACATGTCTTTTTTTTTTTTTTAGTTGCTGCACAAGAGAGTGAAACTATGTGGCTGAACGTCCCTTTTTCAAATTTAAGTGGTTCCAAGATGTGTTTAATATTGTTAACAATCTTAGTTTTGACTAAATAATTTCTTAAATTTTATGCAATTTAAGAGCTAGGATAATATTCCTGGAAACCATATTGCATTTATTTCAGCAGTCTGCTTGAGAACTCATAAATGCTACCAGAAAGCTGGTCTATTTCCCTCAATATTGGGCCAATAAGAACAGATTCCTACCTTTAAATTCTTAACTCTTCCTCTCCATTCTTTCAGTCTCAGCTCAGGCACGGTAACCTTAAAATCAGCCTTGACCTTGAATTCAATCTTGGAGTTACCTTAAAAAAAAAACCCAAAACAAATAAAAAAATGCCACGTAGAGAATTGAGATAACTCAATTCTGGCAGAGGTAAGTCAGTGCTCTTTGTGGTGGTGCAAGGGAGCATCCAACTGGCATAAAATGGCTCAGATACTCCTGCTGTTCTTGCAGTCATGCCTCAGCACTGCTCAGTTGTATACCACAGGTCTAGCTATGGAGATGATGCAACCTTGATCTCCCCATTGCAGTATAGGGATAGATATAGATAAATACAGTATATATTTACTCCCTAAATACAGTACTATTTCTGCCATCCCTACTGTCATCTCTGTCTGCAGAAGATCAGCAGCTGTCTACCACCGTGTGGATGGAAAGGAGAGAAGCTCTCACTCCTAACCTCATCCAATTTGCCCGTAGTTTGACTCCCTCCTCATTTTGCATGCCTGTGTTCTGTGCAGTTCCAAGGAGGAAGGTGGGGGAAATCTGACTCCTAAATTTATTGTTCTCAAAGTTTTATATTATAATGCTGAGGCCCGGGCAATGGAGTCTAACCTTCAATCCTGAAGTAAAACTTCAAAGATGGACTAGGGCAGAGTGGAAGCTGAGGGCACAGCTTGTGCCATCACGAGAGCGTAACGCTGTAAATGATGTCATGCATTTCTGATTTCAGACAGAAGAGGAGTATATTCCCTACCCCAGCATCCACGAGGTGAGTTAGTACTGCTCTCCTCTGTTTTCCTTTGGACTTTATTGGCCTTTCAGCTTTCATGTCCTTTGCCTTTCTAAATAGGTATTACAGAAGGGGTGGCCGTATCCTCTCATTATTTTACCCCAGTTTGGGGGCTACTGGATTGAAGGGACCAGCCACAACCTCTCCAGCTTGAGTCCAACTCTGTCTGACGTACCCTTTGCCTGGAGTGGTAAAGTGAAACTGGAGAGTGACCCCACAGCCAAACTGTACCGCAAACACTTTCTGGGGAAGGTAAGGGTGATCTTCAGAGCCTTCTCCGTCCACCCAGCCTCAAGGCTGAGATGTAGCTCAGACTTTTCCTGATGGACTTAGAAAGAACTGCACAGCCACTCCATTTCAGTTCCCCATGATGCCTTGGACTAATGTGGATGAGGTAGATACTACCATATGGCCAGCAGTGTGTTAGGTCGGTCCTGTCCCCTTGTGGTATGTACATCATCCTGTGCATTGACAGAAGAGATGGGTTTGCACAGGAAAGGCTTCTGTTTGGTTAAGAAGCTCTTCTGAGGCCTCTGGACAGATACCAACCTTGGCCTTAGTAAGTGGCTGTTTGTTGGCTGGCCATTAAGGTCCATCTGGGTTGGCTTGTTTAGGGAATTGATTGACTCGCAGACTGGATCTCAGGATGACATTAGCCATCAAGGACAAGTGAGAACAAACCCCTGATCTTTTCTGAGATTCAGTTCACGGCATAAGGAGATAAGAAAGCCTGACAGGTTTACTCACGTTGCATCTTATTCAGTGGTCTCCCTCTGCAACTGCTTAATTAAAGGTCAAAACCAGGAAGAGTCGGAGCTTTGGGCGATTCTGAGGACCTGTTCTGCAGTAGTTGGACTTGTCTGAATGGTCTTGTGTAGTATGTGACACTAGAAACCAATGTTAATATAATTTCTATGTAAAGTACGCTTCCTGGAGGCTTCCTCTTTAGACTGACAGATCTGCTGTGCAATCTGTTAATGGACACTTATCTTGGGACATTCTGGAAGCCTTCAGTGTGCCAACTGTATTTTTCTGTCATGGTAAGTGCAGGATTGTGCTTGAAGGTTTCCAGAGCCAGCAAGGCTGAGAAGCAAATTGGGATATGATTTTTTTTGATCTAGCCTTCAGTGTGCCAACTGTATTTTTCTGTCTTTGGTAAGTGTAGGATTGTGCTTGAAGGTTTCCAGAGCCAGCTAGGCTGAGAGGCAAATTGGGATATGATATTTTTCGGTCCGATTGTAGGATTCACTGCTGACCTGATATGACAGAATCACGGAATGGTTGAGGCTGGAAGGAACCTCTGGAGCTGATCTTGTCCATACCCCTGCCCAAGCAGGGCCATATCATCATTGTTCCTTCCAAGTGAGATCCAGGAATTCCCATTCCATCCGGCTTTATACATCTGCAAAATGCCCAACCGTTGGTGCTTGAGTACTACAGAAAAACTCTCACCTATATTCTTCCCTTTCTACAATATCCAGTGTTTTATTCTTTGTCTTAATTGACGTGAATGTGTGTCTGTGTTCCATTAAACATGCAAGTGTTTGAGCAAGCCAGGGTCAGAAAAGAACAAAGTGAACAGGATTCTGGTCACAGAAAACTCTACCTGTCGGTAGAAAACTTTTCCCGTGTCATTACTCATGGCTTAAAGGCTTAGGTAAGGAGAAAGCTCAGAGTTTTTCCACAAGGAGAGTGTTCCTTCAGTTGGAAGTTGAGAGACCAGTGATTTTGATGCGGTGTGGATTGGGTGTTCGTCTTGCTGGTAGCATGGGAAGGTTATTTCAGAAAGGCAAAAAAAGGGTCTCTTGTGTGCTTTGAGTAACTGTGAACAATTCTTAGCTGAGGAAGAGTCCATAAGCATCATGTGATGGGAGAGACATAGCTTGTGGTTTAAGAGTATCCTTTAAGAAAGATGGGAGATTAGAATATGTGCGGAATTACAAACCTAACACGCATGTCTTGTGTTGTGGGTGTGCATATACTGGGTCACTCAAACTGGGACAAGTCTTTTGATGCTCTTTGCAGAATACTTTACAGCAGATCCTAGAAAACAATCCCCCCAAAAAAAGAGTGCTAGGACACATAAGCTCAGTTCCTTTTCTTTGTTTCGTGGTCTTTGTTTTGTATGACGATTACACAGTAAGATTAATTTTGCCTGTAGGAGGAATGCTGTAATCTAATCAAATCTAATCCAAACAGAATTGGATCCCCTGCATGACGTTCTCATTGGTCTGTCTGCCCTGCTTGTACCTTAAACCAAATAATTTTGGGCTGTTTGCTGAAAGCATGAGTTCAGTCTCAGCTCTTTGCTTGAACAGAGTTTATGTAGCAGCCAACTCCAAAAACTGGCCATAAAGTGGTTTTCCACTAGGAAGATGGGAATGATCTAAGCATTCCTGGATGATTCCATCCATATAGTATTCTCATCGTGCTAGAGGTTTTCATTTGCATCCCTTGTCAAAAGGCTTTAACCTTTTGAGGTTAGAGGTTATATATATTATGTATATCTCTCAAAAGATAAAATATATATTGATTTACCCAGGCCATTGGAACATGGCTGTATACTCAGAAGAAATATAGGGGCACAGCCACCTCCATACAGAGCCTGTGAAAATGTTTGCATTGTGGTTCATGGTTTGACTGAAGGACTCTCTCTGTTGGAGGCACACCCCACTGAAGCTCAAGCAGCCCTTAGGGGCACTGCTGAGAACAGGCTTCGTTTGCAAAACGGTTACCTTGGAGCTCTGACTGCATCCTCCCTGAGATGTGAGTGCTCTTGGAGGTCACCCATTTGGTATAATGATCCAGCTGTAGAACGAGCTATACTCTTTGTATAGAAAATTCCCGTGACTACATCCAGTTGGATGTGCTGGAGACCACTGCTTAGTCACGCCGAGTCTGAATGGATCCAGGGAAAGTCCATGAAAGACAGAGCTTCTTGTAAATAAATTCCTGTTTCTTCAAAATGTGTTCCTGAATGTTCTCATCCTGTTCCTTCTCAGGAAGGACGGACAGCTGAGCAGGAACTGAACTGACCGTGGATGAACTTTGATGTGATCGTGCATTGATCACCAATGGGGCTGGGAGACAGCACATGCGTGTCTTCAAGCGTGCCGTTGCTAGTTAAAGAAAAAATTGGCTAACCTTGAGTGACAGCTTGTATGCCAAAAATCTGATAGACTTCTCTGGGAGCCGTGTTGGGAATAATGCGTTTTGGCTTGCTGTTTTCAGGAGCACCAGAACTTTTACTCCAATGACATGTCCTTGGGCTACCTGGTACTTTCTGTGAAGTATGAACAGATCGAGAAACAGGAAAATCTACGCCTGTTGCTGAGGTAACAGTGCTGGTTGTTGAAGTGTGTGTTGCTGTGTTGTCTTTCTCATCTTGCCCTGAGCCTCCTCTGCATAGATACGGGTGTGAATCTCATGTCTTTCTCCTGGAGAGGGCTGCAAAGAAACCTTCGAGCCTTCTTTTCTTGCCTTCTCTCAGTTTCTCTCAGCAGTTTCCTTCAGGAAGCTGAGGTGGTGTTTGTAGGTGCATCTTTGTAGTTCCTGAGTGAAGAACATCTGTTTTTTCCTCAAAAAGAAAGTTCTTCTTTTTATTCTGTTTACGTAGAGACATGTGAGTACTCTCGAGGAGAATGTGGATTCCCTCCTGGAGGGCAGCCTAGCCCAGGCCTGTCTTTGGACTTTGTACTTGAGACTAAGGCTCCCTTGAAGGTGAGCTAGAACATTCCTTAGCTTCCCAGGACAGTCTACAAAGTGCCATAACCTTTAGGGCTTCCACAGAGAGCCATTACCCATAGAGAGCTGCTGAATGAACTAGAGGAAGAACAGAGATGGACCTTGCATAGGTGAGAGACGCTGCAGAAAAGCTTTTTACCACACTATGGGCTGGGTGCACTTCCAGTAGGCAATGTGCTACTGGAACCAACGGACGTCCAGTTGCTGCAGCACCTTTAGCTTGTTTATAATGGTTTGAAGAGGACTCTGACAGCTTAATATTTCTTCTCCCCTAGAAAGACATCTGTCCTTTTAATATGTATGTAGAGAAAGGAAGCTTTTCTTCATCACCTTGCTGGAACAATGCTACATCAGTTTCTACCTCCTCTACTTTGCATAGATCTGCTCTCCTAGACTGTCTCTAACACCCTTTTAACAGCCTTTCAAACCCTCATGGTGTGATCTTATGAATCTGTTATAATACTGTGTCCATGAATTGTATTTTGATGTTTGGATTTCTGTGAAAGAGAATGGTGGGAGGGGGAAGCAAAATATGATGGAAAAGAAAAGGATGCAAAGGAGCAAGAGACTAAGCATCCCTGTTTTGTCTTCCTGTGCTCCCCACAAGAAGTGATGGGCAGTAAGACCCATCTTTTTTTCAGTAATTTTTTTGCACCAGGCTTAAAATTAATCCTCTGGAATTAACTGCTTGAAGGATAATCTGAATGGCTCCTCTTTCTTTAAAGAGCCATTGTTGCCTGTGTCTCCCTTCAGCCTTTGCTCTAATGCCATTTTGTTTTGTGTCAGGACAAGGACTGGCACCAAACATGACCTGATCCCCATTTCGTGTCTGAATGAGTTTCCCAATGCTGTCCAGATGGCAAAGGTGAGATTCATGCTTGCCTGTTCACTTTTACAGCCTCAATCTTCACGTTATTTTCACATCTCTGTCTTCCCATTGCCCTCTTTTCTCCTAGTCCCCAGTAGTGCTGTCATATACTTCTCTTTTATACCTCCATTTAGCTTCTCTTCTTTCTCTTCTAATTTCACCTCAGAATTTTTGCCTGAAGGGACTCCTGTCAGGTCATTATAAACACTCTCATGCCTGCAGCAAGCCAGGGCACATGCTAATCACACTTCTGTTTCCCTCTCTCACTTGGCAGCTACTTTGTGAGGATGTGAATGTCGAACGCTTCTTTCCTGTCCTCTACCCCAAGGTATGATGTTGTGGTATGTCTGTATGTCCCTTTTCCACCAAGGTCTGGCTAGTGACATCCAACCGATAATTTATATTTTCATTACCTCAGGCTTCGCAGCTTATTGTTGCATTTGATGAACATGTCATAAGCAATAACTTCAAATTTGGGGTCATCTACCAGAAACCTGGGCAGGTAAGCTCCCTCAGATCTCGCCATACTTGAAGCAGAACTCGGGGTCGGTTCTCTTAGCTTGCGTGCAACAACAAGATCTGTACTATCCTGGGAAAAATACAGATGCTGTGAAGAGAAAGGATAGAAGCTTGCCTTCTGTTGATCATAGAATCATAGAACGGTTTGGGTTGGAAGGGACCTTAAAGATCATCCAGTTCCAACCCCCCTGCCATGGGCAGGGACACCCTCCACTACACCAGGTTGCCCAAAGCCTCATCCAGCCTGGCCTGGAACACTTCCAGGGATGGGGCAGCCACAACTTCTCTGGGCAACCTGTGCCAGTGCCTCACCACCCTCAGAGTGAAAAATTTCCTCCTTATATCTAATCTAAATCTCCCCTCTTTCAGTGATCGATTTGTTTGTGCAGGTCCTCAAAGCTGGTTGAGCTGTGTAGAGAAATTATTGCCTGTTCTTTGTGCTGCTTGCGCTCCTTATGACTTCTCCTTTCCTTTTGAAGACAACCGAAGAAGAAGTCTTCAGTAACACAGAGGAGAGTCTGGGTTTCCTGGAGTTTCTGGATTTCCTTGGTGACAAGATCCAGCTGCAGGATTTCCGTGGGTGCGTAACTACGGCAGTCGAAAAGTCAGATTGAGTTGGGAAACGCAGTGTGTTCAGAGGAAGAGTGCTGTCTTCTCTGAATCCCAGCGCAGCTGGATAAGCCCAGAATGCTTTTGTCAACCACCTTGTCTGGGAACCAGTGGGAGCTTAGGTCTCTGCTGGTATTTTCATGTAAAACCCACAGTATCAGCCAAAAATAATGTTATTTGACTGTGTGGATATAAGTTTGTTTCACAGTGGTAGGGGTCAGTATTGTTTTAGTCTCTCTGTGAGGCAGCCCATCCTTTCAGTAGTGCTCAACTATGGATTGTGTTTCTCAGAAGAATCCCAAATAATGTAGGATCCTTTAGGATCCCTGGTTTAGCTTCACAGATTTTAGTAAGCAAGTGTGTTCATCAGCTGGAACACCGTGCAGCTTCAGTCAGTGCGTTTGTTTGGAGAAGATTTGGTGCTCCACTATCACTGGTTCCTTAAAAATTACCTTTGCTAATGTTGATGTTACTGGCGTTGTCTTTCTTCTTCCCACTTTCCAATCTCTGTCCTGCCTGACCTATGGCGTGGTATGGATTTGCTCAGGTTCCGGGGAGGCTTGGATGTCACTAGAGGTCAAACGGGCACTGAGTCGGTCTACACAAATTTCCGGGGCAAGGAGATCATGTTTCATGTGTCTACAAAGCTGCCCTTCACAGAGGGAGATTCCCAGCAGGTACTGGAAGGAGAACTATGGAATACAACAGCAAAGAGGGGAGGGGTATCCGATGGGGGGCCAGTTAGAGAGGAGAACACCTAACTGTATGTTGGGAATTATGGCTGGAGTAATGGTGACAGTAGTGATGGGGGGTTTGGTTGACCAGGCGGGTTGGAGAGGCTGGACAGACTGGTGCTTGAGGCCTCATTTTACCGTTCTGCTCTTTTTCACCTGTGTTCTCCATTTATCTTTTTTTTTGTCCTCTCCAGCTTCAGCGGAAGCGTCACATTGGGAATGACATTGTAGCCATCATCTTCCAGGATGAGAGCACGCCTTTTGTCCCCGATATGATTGCTTCTAATTTCCTACACGCCTACGTGGTCGTTCAGCTCACTCATGGCACCGCTGGGGACACTCTCTACAAGGTAAACGGAACCAACAGGTCCCTCTGTTGTGATTCACTGATGCTGATCCTAGAAGTGGAAACCTGGGTTTGGGACTTTGGTAGAGGCATAGGCAAACCCAGCTGTCATCCTAACAGCTTTGCTTGCTCTGTTAGCAAACCCGATTTAATGTTTTCAGTGAAAGGCAGTAATTAGATTTATTACCAGTAAACCTAGAAATCCAGTAGCTGCCACCAGCTCTCCTTCTCCTGCTCTTTGATCTCTGACCAGGAGTCTCCTCCCTGCTGTGTTGATCTCTGTTCTATAGGTTTGCAGTGGTCCTGTCTGTTTGGTGTGGTTGCTCCTATTCAATCTGTGTTCATGTTTGTTGAGCATTCAGATTCCATGAAGATATTGGTTAGATATAGGTTAGATATAAGAAAGAATTTTTTCATTCTGAGAGTGGTGAGGCACTGGAACA